AGCACACTTGATTATCTATATAAATAATACGATTAATATATGGAGAGAGAGAGAGAGAGAGAGAGAGAGAGAGAGAGAGAGAGAGAAAGAAACAATCAGTCTGTTTGTAAAGAAATCTTAATTATTAATTATTTTATATGTAACATATAATAATATATATAAAAGAAATATACTGAATTATTTAAATATAAAACTATTTATGCAAATATTATAAGATTTATTATATTGCGTTTCATTTTTTATAATAATATTGGGCGAAGAAATGATTAAAATATATAAAGATAATTAAAAATAATCAAAATTAAAATTCTGATATAACTAAAATTCTGCTATAAACAGATATATGCGTAAATTGTTGCAAAATTAATTATATTATTAATTTTTTTCAATTATGCGTTATAAGTTTGAATATAGTATGCCTCCTATTCGATGGATTCGTATTTTCGAGACATATTGAAATGCATACTGTTGTCTGTATATAGATGCATATTTTCCAGTACGAAACAAGACTGCCGATCTACATTTGGAGAATTTTTACGAGTGGTCGGATTATGTAGGAGGAACACGAATGAGAGAGCATTCGTCCTTCTTTTTTCCTTCTCTCTTAGTCTCGTACAGCTTATGCAAATAAGTTCATTTCGGGGCTTGGCTCGAAAGAAACTGTCGACGAAAAGTAGGACTTTATGTTTAAAGGGGATATCTAAATCATTCATGAAAATTATAATATATGATAAGCCTACGAAAAATAAGATTAGTCGCTCTTATTATTTAGACGTTCTAATTCCAATTTTTAAAAAATTATACATATATATATATATATATGTATTTAGAAGAAAATATTATTAAAATTAATAATATTAATAAAAATATTAATAACTTTAAACTATTATTTTTATATATTTTTTCTTTTTATTGAATTACTATAAACATTAAATCTAAAATCCATAATCTTAAAATTAATATATAAAATGAATAAAAATCATACCTAAATAATATTCTTACATTAATCTAAATTATATCTTTAAATATAAATTTAAATAAAAGAGATAAAACCGTTTACAGATACGGTTGTTTTTTTGGATCTGCTCTTTTCTTCTCTTAATTTCTGTATTGTTTAAAACTTAATAATGTATCCTTTAATTGGCGCAGCTTAATATTTGCTACCTCGACAAATATTAGCGTTATGCTTGGGAATAGATGCAACCGTTGAAACGCGGAGCGGTTTACTTAGCTAACGATCGATAATACTGATAATTACGTGGTTACGCATATAATTGGGACAGCTCGCGGTCGACCGTGACAACGAATGTAAAAATGTTTTTGACCACAATTAGTATTCACGTATGCGCCGCTCGCGAAAGTTTATTGATATGTTTATAGGCTGCATGCCAACTCGAACAAAATTTCACCTTCTCGCACGCATCGTCGGAACGGAAGTAACAAACAAATACTTTCACGAGCTCCTCTTCTCTGAAACGCGAGCGAATCCAACGTTTCGTATACCAAAACAATCGGTAATATTAAACTTTATTCGAGGTAAGGCATAAATGGCATTTATTTCGAGCTTTGCGATATTTGGTAGTACAATCGTGGCAATTATTGCGAACGAGTCCCGAGCTGTAACAGGAAGTTAGCGCATTATTCAAAGCAGCCTTCGATGCCATTGGAGTTAGTCACGCGATGCATAGCACGTGTTATCGGAGCGCGTCCGCAACGTAAATCAACGATATCAACTTCTAATTGCTAGATTCTCGCAATAAAAACTCCCAACTTTCTTTCATTGTTAAAATATTATCATGACGATAGAATGTGTTTCTTTTAGATTCATTTTTCATACTTGAAAATAAAAGAACAGAGGTGCTGATATATTTATTACTTCCAGTAATCTTTTTCCAAAAATCTTACACAGGGAGATATCGATTTATACACAAATTAAAGTATACAAATTTAATAAAAACGATAAAGTTTAGATATAAAAAATTAAAAATATAATTTTAGCCAGTCATCTTTTTCCAAAAATCTCAAAGAGATATCGATTTATATAAATTAAAGTATAAAAATTTAATAAAAACAATAAAGTTTAGATATAAAAAATTAAAGATATAATTTTAGCCAGTCATCTTTTTTCAGAAATCTCAGAGAGATATCGATTTATATAAATTAAAGTATAATAATTTAATAAAAATGATACAATTTTGATATAAAAAATTGAAGATATAATTTTAGCTACTCAATTCAATTTTCAATTTTATTAATAGATAAGAGTTTGAAAAGAGGTTCACTTATATATTATAATAAAAAGTTTCCTTCTCACGAATTTGATTGTATGTCAATATATCGTAAAATTCCGACAAGCGATGGTTAAGGAAACACTCGTATCTCGGAAATATCCAATTTGTCGTACAAAACACGAGTGCTATTACAGTTCACGTGCCGTTGCATCGTCTCCTATATTCGTCCACGAAATTAATCCTAACACGTCAATCGTGCATCCAAGCCTTTATCAATCGCTATCACCATTGCCATAGTCACTCCTCGAGTTGGTCTCTCGTCGCCTAGCTTCGCTGAGCACATTGTAACAATTGATTAGATTACTAATGCTTTATCTATCTCTCATATCGAGCACGATATCAACGACACCTTTAACGGATTAAAGTGTTTGTATTCCGCGAAATATGCCACGATTAGTGGATGCTCGGATACGTGCAAGTGAAAAAACACTACTCTTGCAGTGCGCTCTACTTCGTCATCGGTTCGACCTAACATGGAATTGCGTCGTTTTTTGCGCAGTGATGAGTGGTGAAAAGAATGTCGTGATTGTCCGAGAAAATGAAACGCAATTTTCTGGACTGATAACTCAAGTGCTCATTTTATATTAAATATCAAGTTTTATATATAAATTATCTTCTCAATTATCCTTAGATATTTCTATTCTTATCATTGCAAAAAATTGACATATCCTAAAAGAAACTGTTTCATATCAAATTATCATTTATTATCGCTATATTTGATTACAAAAATTTGGAAGACTTTTAATCGGCAATATGCTTCTTTTATAAAGTTAAAATCCCTCTCTTTTCCTCGACGTGCTGATTCTTTCAGAAGACCGTCAATTTTTCAATCATGTCGCTAAAAAGCACGATGTTCACTTTCCACGACTCACTTCCGCGTCCATCGCAACACATCAAATATTCTTGATAAAAAAAAAAGAAAAACAAAAACCTCGCCGCGTGTGTCGGTGCTCTTTAGGGATTCCAAGCTCGTCGAGGTTCGTCGAGTACGTGACGTCGCTCAATCGTTGCGGAGTTTCGCTTGCAACGATGAACCAATCGTTGCAGCGGCCAGTTCCCACCAGACAGTCGCCTGGAATCATTCACAGACGCTTCTTCGCGCGCTACCGTGGTCAAGGTGGAGCTCCTGACGGGTACGAGATGACGGTCGTCAACCGGAGCGGTTATCCGCCAATTTGGACGATTCTTATAATTCTCCTCGTGGTTTGCGAGTCTGCCATGTCCGCGAGCACGCAGACCTTCGTCGTGAGCAACACGTTGGACGACCAGCTCGGTAAAGACTACTTCGTGGGACCGTGTCTGGTAAACACCAATCAAACCTGTCCTGACGAGGAAGTGACGTTCTACCTTTACACAAGATTCAATCCGGAAGAGGGACAACAACTTCTAGTGAACGCTACGAGCTCGAATCTTGCCGATACCAATTTCGTGGCAGCAGCGCCCACGAAGATTATCGTTCACGGATACAATTCGGACATGCAACTGGGATATCTGGTGGATATCAGAAACGAGTACTTAAAGAGAGGCAAATATAATCTCATAGCGGTCGACTGGCATCGTCTGGCGACGGCGCCGTGTTATCCCATGGCCGTTCACAACGTGCCTCACGTGGGCGATTGTCTGGCGCAGCTGGTCGATCGTCTCAGAGACTACGGTGCCGCGGATATCCATATAATCGGTTTCAGCCTTGGCGCACACGTGCCAGCATTCGCGGCCAATGTGCTGCGTCCGTATCGGTTGCCAAGGATCACCGGCCTCGATCCGGCAATGCCGCTCTTCATCACCGTTAATAAGGATGAGAAACTCGACTCGAGCGACGCCGAATTTGTCGACGTGCTGCACACGAACGCCTTTATTCAGGGCAAGATCGAACCGAGCGGCCACATCGACTTTTACATGAACGGTGGAGTCAACCAGCCTGGATGCTGGGAGCATGGGAATCCATTCGGATGTAACCATCACAGAGCGGCCGAGTATTTCGCCGAGTCGATCAACTCGAAGATCGGTTTCTGGGGCTGGCCCTGTTACGGATTCGTGTCTTATCTGCTGGGTCTCTGCCCGCCAAAACATCCTGCGGTGCTGATGGGCGAGGATGTCAACAAGAGATATCGGGGTTTTCATCTGGTGAAGACGAAGGCGCAGAGCCCGTTCGCGGAGGGGATATTCACGGTAGAGGATCTTTACCAGCAGGATCTTTATCAGTGATTGCATGCGAGCAATGTCGACGGTTCTTCCTCGTGGAAAATGTTACGACGAGACCGCGAGAGATCCCGTATGCATTGATGAAACGCGAGGAAAGGGGCGTGAAAATGTAAGACTCTTCATATTAAGACGACGTCGCGTGTCGGGAAGATTGAGATATCTCGGTGATGTCAAGTACTTTGTCGAGAGAATATTGTAAGTGATCCAACATAATTTTGAAGCGAGCTCTGAATAAATTATCTTCTCATCTTCTCAATTATCCTTAGATATTTCTATTCTTATCATTGCAAAAAATTGACATATCCTAAAATAAACTGTTTCATATCAAATTATCACTTACGTACGAAATAAAAAATCATAAACGTGCGTAAAATTTGCATGAACAAACAATACTTATCGGATTGATAAAATCCATATTTTTATCGCTATATTTGATTATAAAAATTTGGAAGACTTTTAATCGGCAATATGCTTCTTTTATAAAGTTAAAATCCCTCTCTTTTCCTCGACGTGCTGATTCTTTCAGAAGACCGTCAATTTTTCAATCATGTCGCTAAAAAGCACGATGTTCACTTTCCACGACTCACTTCCGCGTCCATCGCAACACATCAAATATTCTTGATAAAAAAAAAAGAAAAACAAAAACCTCGCCGCGTGTGTCGGTGCTCTTTAGGGATTCCAAGCTCGTCGAGGTTCGTCGAGTACGTGACGTCGCTCAATCGTTGCGGAGTTTCGCTTGCAACGATGAACCAATCGTTGCAGCGGCCAGTTCCCACCAGACAGTCGCCTGGAATCATTCACAGACGCTTCTTCGCGCGCTACCGTGGTCAAGGTGGAGCTCCTGACGGGTACGAGATGACGGTCGTCAACCGGAGCGGTTATCCGCCAATTTGGACGATTCTTATAATTCTCCTCGTGGTTTGCGAGTCTGCCATGTCCGCGAGCACGCAGACCTTCGTCGTGAGCAACACGTTGGACGACCAGCTCGGTAAAGACTACTTCGTGGGACCGTGTCTGGTAAACACCAATCAAACCTGTCCTGACGAGGAAGTGACGTTCTACCTTTACACAAGATTCAATCCGGAAGAGGGACAACAACTTCTAGTGAACGCTACGAGCTCGAATCTTGCCGATACCAATTTCGTGGCAGCAGCGCCCACGAAGATTATCGTTCACGGATACAATTCGGACATGCAACTGGGATATCTGGTGGATATCAGAAACGAGTACTTAAAGAGAGGCAAATATAATCTCATAGCGGTCGACTGGCATCGTCTGGCGACGGCGCCGTGTTATCCCATGGCCGTTCACAACGTGCCTCACGTGGGCGATTGTCTGGCGCAGCTGGTCGATCGTCTCAGAGACTACGGTGCCGCGGATATCCATATAATCGGTTTCAGCCTTGGCGCACACGTGCCAGCATTCGCGGCCAATGTGCTGCGTCCGTATCGGTTGCCAAGGATCACCGGCCTCGATCCGGCAATGCCGCTCTTCATCACCGTTAATAAGGATGAGAAACTCGACTCGAGCGACGCCGAATTTGTCGACGTGCTGCACACGAACGCCTTTATTCAGGGCAAGATCGAACCGAGCGGCCACATCGACTTTTACATGAACGGTGGAGTCAACCAGCCTGGATGCTGGGAGCATGGAAATCCATTCGGATGTAACCATCACAGAGCGGCCGAGTATTTCGCCGAGTCGATCAACTCGAAGATCGGTTTCTGGGGCTGGCCCTGTTACGGATTCGTGTCTTATCTGCTGGGTCTCTGCCCGCCAAAACATCCTGCGGTGCTGATGGGCGAGGATGTCAACAAGAGATATCGGGGTTTTCATCTGGTGAAGACGAAGGCGCAGAGCCCGTTCGCGGAGGGGATATTCACGGTAGAGGATCTTTACCAGCAGGATCTTTATCAGTGATTGCATGCGAGCAATGTCGACGGTTCTTCCTCGTGGAAAATGTTACGACGAGACCGCGAGAGATCCCGTATGCATTGATGAAACGCGAGGAAAGGGGCGTGAAAATGTAAGACTCTTCATATTAAGACGACGTCGCGTGTCGGGAAGATTGAGATATCTCGGTGATGTCAAGTACTTTGTCGAGAGAATATTGTAAGTGATCCAACATAATTTTGAAGCGAGCTCTGAATATATAGAATACGTATATGTTCAAAATTCATTTTGAGAAAGATATTTAAATTATTACATAGTTACATATATGTCCAAAATTTTAAGTGGTTAGGTAATTTCTCTCAGTTAATTCACTTTTAAAAATAGCGAGTGATGATGATTTATTACAAGTAGACTTTAATATTTGGTTCAATGATTTTTTTATGACTTATCCAAGAGGAATGTGACAGAATGCTAAAGACGGTTACGGACTTTGTTGCGAGTTTTATTATTGTAGTCTCTTTAGATTAAATGAATGAAATCGACGAGTATTGAGCAAAAAAGTCTCAGGAGACCTTTCTTTGTCGATTTAGGAATATGTTACACAGTCTCGCGAATCTGATGCTGCGCGAGAAGGTCTAGTATGTCAAGGTCAGACAACTGCCGAGACCTGCTAATCGATATCTCACCAAACCGGAGAAATGGGGCGGACACGACTGCGACATATTCGCAAACCAAACAATTTCTTGTCGATCTCACGTCCTACGATGTTCAAATAAAAAGTACTTATAACCGCATCTATCCGTCTATCTGTCAATCTATCTATCTATCCATTTATCCGCCTATATAAACTGTTTCTCTCTTTTGACATATAATATTTTCACGGTATTGTCGAGCTTCAATATTGCCAAATTTGCAGGTTTCCCTAATAAAATCTTGCCCCTTTTTATATACATTATTTCATAATTATTTCTCAATAATTGGTAGATGCATGTCTTTTACATCATAAGATATATATGTATTTGATATATCTAATATTATTACCACATTACATAATACATGGATCTTGAAATTAAATGTGGATATACGGATAGTAACGCGATATATTGCGCAGAATTTTTTGTGCGAATCTTTTGTAATCTTATCTCTTTATTTGTACGTTCCTCGTCGAGAATGTATCAGAGTATTCGACATAAAGGAAATAGTGCTATACGGGAAGACCGGAAGCCTTATGGACTGATTCTGTTAGTTAGTTTCTCGAGAATCGATCTCAGGAGAATGAGACTTATTATCTGTGTATACTATGAAAGAGACAATTCCTGAGAGAGTTAAATATATCACACAAATAGTTTCTCGATTATTTTTACCTTAGTTTCATTTTTACAGAGGTATATTTGTTATATTTTTGTTAAATTTTTCGATATAAATATACAAGTCAATATTTAATTATTTTTGGCCAGTTAATGCATTATTTATAAGATATTTATTTGATATTTATAATCACATGATGATGCCATAATTAATATTTAATATTATTTTTATTTTGGCGAAAATAACTTTTAGAAGATAAAGAAAATTTTATTAATTATAATCTCACTAGTTTAGACTATTGAATTATTTGAAGATGTTATTCGAATAACTTTACTTTTAAATATTTTATTACATTTGATATATATTTTGTGAATATCAAAATTGACACGAGATATTAAATGAGTGAAAATTTGTTTAAACAACTTCTTATTTTGGCGTTTTATATTTTGCTAAAATTCTATAAACAGATATCCTTTGTAAGTACAAACCTTTAAGTTAACGAATCTCAATATGTATGCCCGTTATAAGAATGTATGCTTTTAATAGCAAGCATATAAATCTAAGCATTACACATACATGTATATACACATCCAATTATATACATATATCCAATAAAAAATAAATAAAATCTCATCAAATTTGAATTAGCGTGGTTTCTCAATCAACGCTTATTATTTGCTTTGATCATTGGCCTATTTAATTTTAAATCTTATTTAAAAAATCTCATTAAATTTTTGTATATGCATTCGTAAATACTTCTGTTTATTACGATATAATAATTATTCGAATTGTATACTTTATGATTATAATTTTAAATAGGATTAAATATCATTATAACTTTATCGCGTATACAATTATTCTTTTGGAAATAAACTGTATTTTTAAATTCTCGGCGAATTTAATTTGCCGCATTTCTACGGCTTTAATCATAACAGTTTGGACGATCCTGGAGTGCTTTTAATTTCCCGGGGAAACTGCTCGATATAAATTACGAAACGATATCACTGTGATCTTCTCCTCTCTCTTTCTCTTTTTCTGTCTGTGTATCCATGCGGCCATTGGTTAACCTCGTTTCCGGAGAATCCCTCGTATAATGTGATCCAATCAACTTAATCCGCAGTATCAAAGCATTCGAAATCCAAGCCGGCCTGATTCGAATGTTAATGAATGCGAGGAACATGTCCCAGGGGGAGGAGAAGGGAAATTCGCGCGATTGTATCCAAACAATTCGTTAGTAACTAACGAGACCCTCGTTACCAACTACGTGACGGCAAGAATGATTGAAGTAAAAAGCACGAGACGACAAGTAATTTCTCTCTCTCTCTCTTTCTCCTTTCTCTCTCTCTCTCTCTCTCTTTCGAGAGAGAGAGAGAGAGAGAGAGAAAGCTCAATCGTCATAGCTTAAAACTGAACGACAAATCCCGCATCCCAGCAACAGGTTGCGCCCGACACTAATTTGCGATTAAGCCGCGAGATCGTCGCCCCAATTAAGGCTCTTAAATTGACTTTGGATGAGTTTCTTCCGAATGCGAGATCGGCATGACCAGGTGACAAATCGGCACGCAATTTTGAGAATACGAGATTGTACAATCTTATGTTTTTCATAAAACAATTAATAAAAAATTTTTACATAAAAAAAAACATTTTTTTTGTGGCACAGACACAAGGACTACGCATTTAAATGCCTTCTCTGAAATGTTAGGGCAGCGTTTCCATCGACGAATCGAATTTTATTTTCATCGAACACATAAGGCGAGCGTCCTAAAAAGATTGAGATTGAATGAAATTGTCTGTCTCTTTTCCCACCCATGAACGGAAAAGCCAGCTGATTGTCATGGACGAGTTTCTTCCGAATGCAAGATTGGCGTGACCAAGTGACAAATCGGCACGCTATTTTGAGGATACAATCTTATATTTTTCCCAAAACAATTAGTAAACGATTTTTACATACAAAAAAACATTTTTTTTGTGGCACAGACACAAGGACTACGCATTTAAATGCCTTCTCTGAAATGTTAGGGCAGCGTTTCCATCGACGAATCGAATTTTATCCTTATCGAAAAATTGAGATTGAAATTGTCTGTCTCTTTTTCCATCCACGAACGGAAGAACCAGCTGATTATCATACTTTGCGAGCAAGCAACAGCGGTTGTATTAAAAGTTGCTTGAATAGTTGGGCGAACCGTTTCCTCGAGTACACAATTTAAACTTAGGCAGAGAAATGCGCATCCTTAACGGCCGCAATCCCGCATTCTCACCATCGCATCGGATCGTCGAAGAAAGGGTTGATGGAAAGGAGGACGCTGCTGCTTCGCGCTGGTCTCCTTGAGATGCGCAAGAATGCCAATCTCGGCGATAAAACGCGAAAAATCTTCGGGGAAAAATGTAGGGAAGAAGCGGGAAGAAATGGAGGTGGGAGAGGAAAAGGAAGGAAAACTTGTCGAAAATGCGCCGAATGTACGTGCAATACTTGCAGAGGCTGAATCACAATGAGCGGATGCTATTTTGTTATCTCGGCGCAGCGTAAAATGGAGATTAGATGAGAGAAACTTATTTCCACGGCTGGAAAGCTTTACAGCAATATTTTTCATTTGTAGAAAATATAAAAGAAAATAATTTTTAAAAAATCTTCAAACCCGACAGTACACATGTATGTATAAAAGAATGAGATAACAATAATATCATCTTAAACAATTTTTGAGAAAGATTTTATTTTTAAAAATAGCTTTACTGGAAACAATTTGTTTTCTTTTTTTCCGATCCACGTTTTAAGCGGAGGTATATTACGCGATACTGTGTCCAGCGATACACTCAACGTTGAGCGGTTGAGCGCAGAAAAAAACAAAAAAAAAAAAAAAAAAAAAAAATATAGGAGAAAAATCCTATGTAGTCCACTTTCCATGATTTACTCTGGTATCCCGCACACACACACACGCGCACACACGTACAGACAAATATGTTTCTCTTGGTCCGGGCGAATATATACGCGCGCTCTCGCAGGCGCAGTATCCGAGATAATTTGAATTCGCCGAGTGGAATATAATTTAATAAAACTTTACCGCGGAATTCGCATTAGCCACGCATTACCTTAGCTCTCCGCCTCGGTTGTTTACTTTACCCCGGGGTTATTTTCGTGAGCGGGCAAATTTCTTTCGTAAGATTTGCGAGAGTCACGATGTTATGTCTGACAGCATTTCAAGAGCTTGAGAATAATTTTCTCCCGGCCTTATCGAGTATATCTGCGTAAATAACTGCTGATTATAGCGTAAAATATATATCTCTAAAACTAAGAGATAAACGCGTGCAAATTCAAATAAATTTTCACATCGCAAAAGATATAAATTGTCCCTATATTTTATGTTCAAACATCGTCAAATGTTTTCCATATTTCTTTATATAGAGACAATCAAGTAACAATTATTGATAAAATTGTTTGAAATATTTGTCAATCAAATTGTCATTACAAAATTTATTGATGCTATTCAAACGCATGAAGCTTTCGTCTCTTCGTATATATAAAATTCGGTTCTCTATTAATTCTAGTACAATGAAATTGGATATACATCGATGGCATACTACATAGGGGCGATTTAATATAACAACCATATAGAGTTTCAAAATTGTTGAAAATCAACAATTTATATCCATTATCATCGAGGGCAATTCAATAACAATTTTTACAAACTGCGCATATATCGTCGCACTAAATAAATTTATGATTTAATGTATTAAGACGATAATGCGTGAATTAGCTAAGGCATAAGTAAATGTTGTGCAAAATAATCACCTTTGGGTGATCAATTATCGTTATTGCGGATATCGTTCGTGTATATGCGTGAATAATAATTATGCGACGTAATAATCATGTTGCAGTATAAGCTCATTATCGGCGAAAATCATTATCTGATACCTATCACATATTCCGTTTCTTCATCAGTAATTGTTATTCGATTACTGATAATATAAGCCCGATCTAAAAATGAATTTTCCTTCTCTTTCTTCTTTTTTGTTAATTCGCAATCGCGAACAAAAATAAATACAATCAATATTTTCAATTTTCTAATTTTGTAATGTTTAAAATTATATCAATATTGTTTGTGAACATCTTTTTATCCATTTATAAAATTAACAGCTAAAAATTTTCCATATTTTAATTTGAAATATTTTGAATTATATATTATCAGAAAAAAAAAAAAAAAATTTCATCATTTATTCACTACAGCTCGAAATAACTCGCTATTACATCGATTCGATTAAATCTTGAGACGTGATATTTCCGCTCATATATTTATAAAATGTGTGAAAAGAATTTATGTCACAGTTTCAGAGTTAAAATAACTACCCTTTTCTCTTTTTGTTTTGAGCCATGCTGCGAAAATTATTTTTATCAAAGTGACGTCTGTGCGACGAAATCTGAGAATTATGGCTATTACGTGACCCCAATTGCCGAGAAATCAATACGCCCGGTTATTCCGGAATAAACGTAACATTCTCTTGCCATTTTCGCGATGATCCGTTGTACGAGTATACCGTTATTACCGGGCGTCGTCGGTTTTGTTGGCGATTTCGCTAAAAGCCCTTTATAGCGCATATGGAGATTGCAAGGAGATCAGATCCCGGAAAACGTGATCATCCACCGACTACAGCCTCATGCATATTCCAAACTGCACTCGTCCGTCAGCTTGGAGAGCTCACTTTTGGCACTGTTGTATTCCAACTGCCACGTAACTTGCATCACGTGATTGCGCTCTGTGTATGCAGTCTCGGATGGCTGCTTAAGAGAACAGAACGCCATTCGGAAATCTAAAGTCGCCCTTTGCAAATGTTCAGTTTTGATGTTAGTGCAACTGTACACAAAGAATTTAATGTAAATCTTATGAAATTGGAAAACTGATAGCATTTTTTCTCAACATATTGCATTGACAGGAAAGAAATGTGTTCAATTAATTTTAATCTTATTAAACGTAGTAAGCTTCTCCCCTCTCCTAAGCTTCAAAATTTAGATTTGGTTCTATTTTAAATTATTGAATTGAAGTCTGGATTCGCATAAGTCTATACGTGACTTTGTTACGTAATGGGTCGTGTAAATTAAAAATAAAAATTAATACGAACGATAATACGCTTGATCAAATAAACTTTATCATTAATTGTCATAATACAACTTATCATAGCACGATTACTTCAGATTAATTATCAGATCGTACGTAAGTATATTTGTTTAAAAATTCCATATCGCGAGATAATGTTTAAACAACAAGAACACAAATTCGTCGACCGTAAAAAAATCCCTTCCTTCCAATTCCACGAAGCCATTTTCTCGGCTCCTCTACAGTTTCGTCGATCATAAATTTTTGACAAAATGACATTCTTTAGAGCTACGCCGGCCGTTTTTTTCGATACCTTGAAAAATGTCATCCGTTAACAGCGAATTTACGAAAAACGCCGACGTCGTCGAAGAGGCCAAAAAATGGCTCGCTCCCTTTATGGGTGAGATGGGAATTTCGTCGCGGAATGCACACTCTCTTCCCTGTGAGTGACATTTTGAATTAGGAGATATCGCGCGAAAATGCATAGAATGTCAGATAATAATTTTCACCGTAAATCTGCGCTTTTTATGTAAAATAATCAGGGATATTGCCA